CTCCCCCCCTCTCTCTCTCTCCCCCTCTCTCTCTCCCCTTCTCGCCCTCTCGGCTCGTGTCCCACATATTTGGTCATCTCCTGACATGCCCGCGCTCACACCCACACGGGTACCTCTGTGCCTCGGTAGCGCGTATCGAGGTGGTCACTGGCCGTGGATCTCACAGTGTCGGAAATGTTCCAGTCATCAAGACTGCTGTCATCTCGTATCTGAAGCAAGCCGGGATCCGTCACTCTCTACGCAATGACGGCTCTGTTATGGTGAACCTGGCTTGAAAGCCGTCCTTCACATTGAATACACCATTCTCCTTCTTTCTCTCCCTGCCTCTCCCAGCCATGTACCCACATACGTGTCCCGGGCCTTTCGTAAGTGATCTATTGCAGTGTGGATAGGTACTGGGTCTACCTGCACCCACCAAGTCAATGCCCAAAAAGCCAGCCCACACTCACAGACGAAGGGACTTGCTCTTGGCCTCGGCGGAGTTGCGCCCGGCAGCGGCCGCCGCACGACGCTCCTTGCCGGCTGCGCGCTGCTCCTGGTCGTCTTGCAGACGGCGGAAGACCGCCGCACTGGAGGTGTACTTGGTGGTGTCGGCCGGGCCGGTCGGGGCAGAGGCCGCCTTCTTGCCGGCCTTCTTGCCATAAACCTGCTTCTGCAGGGCAGCCCCGACGACCGTGATGTTCTTGGCACCACGGAGCTGGCGCATGGCCGCCTCGCCGGAAGCCTCGTCCACGGCGCGCCGGGCCTCGGCGGTCTCGGTGCGCTTGCGCTCCAGACGAGCCGAGCGCTTGCGAGCGTTGCGCACCCGGCGGCGCTCGTCCGACGTGACCTCGGTCGTGCCAGCCACCAGGCGCCCGCGGCCATGCGTGACAATGCCCGAATCCTTGTCGGTCTTGGTCGAGTGCAGCTCCTCCGGAGCCAGGCGCGAGGCGGAGCTGAAGGCCGCCGGCACCACCGACTCCACCGTGAGGGCCGGGGCATGGCTGATGTGCTTGACCTCGACCTTGGGCTGCGTGCGGTCGGCGCAGGGCACGGGGAGGCAAGGAGGCCCGACGCATGGTCGCCTGGTCAGTACACGACTCCACCGAGGGAGGGGAGAAAAGAAGAAGAGGAAGGGGAGGAAAAAAGGCCAGGAGGGACGGTCGGCGCACCTGCTTCGGGGTGTAGGCAAAGTTGGCCAGAGCATCCAGCTTGCCGAAGAGGGTGTCAATCATGGTGGTGATCTCCACGCACTTGGCCTCGACCTCCTGGCTCTTGGCACTGAAGCCGGTGGTCTTCTCGACATGCTCATCGGCATAAATGTCTGCCAGGGACTGCTTGCTCTTCTGGTCGTCCAGCTCCACCTGGGTCGGCGGGTTCTCAAAGAGGGTGGAGGCCAGCGAGGGGGCCGCCTTGCGGACCGGGTCGTCCCAGATCTCCTGCAAAGGCATACAGACCAAGTCCGAGAGGGAGGGGGTGGGGTGAGTACATCCTGGCAGTCGAAAGGGGGCCAGCAGCTACGGGGCAACGGCCCAAAGGGACCGGGCCGGAGGGAACAGCGAAGAAGCCAAGGGGGGGGGGGGGAGGAAAGTAATGCGCACGTCGCGAATACGCTGCTTGATGAGCTCCTCAATGGTCAGGGTGTACTCCTCGGTGACCACCGGGGCCGAGCGGGCGGTCTGGTCAAACTCCAGGTTCTCCTCCAGCAGGGAGTTGGTCGGCCGGGCCTTGGAGCCCACCTCACCACGGTGCATCCAGTGCGACTTGCCGAGAGACTCGTCCTCCAGCTGACGCATGGCCTCCTGTTGCTTGAGGAGCTCACGCGCGTGCCGGCTCAGCGGCGCGCCGTCCTCCCCGACCAGCTGGTCATCATCATCACCATCATCGCCGAAGAGCTTGCGCTTCTTGCTCTGCGGACCAGCCAGGGCGGCGGCCGCCGCATCGGCCCGGCGCTTGCCGCGGGTCTTCTCCATGAAGCGCTCGGTTTCCTCCTCCTCATCGGCATCATCTGCCTCGCCATGGTCGTCATCGTCGTCGTCGTCGTCGTCGTCGTCATCGCCATCCTCCTCGTCGGTGTCGTGCATGGCCAGGCCGGCTGTCAGGTCCATGTCGGACCCGGCATCCTCGTCGCTGTCCGAGGCATCCACAGCCATGGCATCGTCCTCATCGGCGTCCATGGCGAAGGTCACCCGCCGGGTGGACTTCGGCTTGGCCTTCTTCGTGCCGGATTCCTCGTCGTCCTCGTCATCCGAGGCGCCAGGCATCTTCCACGCGTCCGGGCCCTCATCCTCGCCGAAGAAGTCCTTGCCCATGATGGCGCCGGCGTCCTCATCATCATCCGAGGGGAGAGCTGGGCAGGGGAGGGAGGGGGGGGGGGGAATGAGTGAAAGTGCTCAAGTGGAGAGGGGAGCAATACAGTAAACACATGCGCGCAGGCAGCACCGAGCGGCAGACGCACCGGCAAACATATCGATATCATCGTCATCATCGCCGAGGTCATCGTCATCATCATCGAAATCGAAGTCGTCATCCTTCATCTTGGGGGTTGGCTTGAGGGCAGCCTCATCATCCTCGTCCTCGGTGTCCTCCTCGGACTCCACCTCGAGGATGCCCACGCGGCGGGTCTTCTTGACCGGGGCGACCGGGGCCTTCGGGGCCTTCTTCTTGCCGGAGGCCGCCTGAGGGAGATCGTCATCCTCAGAATCCAGGTCCATGTCGAAGTCGTCTTCCGAGTCAGAGTCCATGTCCTCATCATCGGAGTCGGCACCAGCGCGCGAGCCGGCGGTCCTAGACCCCTTCAGCAGACCGAGCTGCTCGGCGTCCTTCAGCTGCGCCTCCAGGAGGGTCTCCTGTGGAGTCGAATGAGATGCGGCAAACATGTGTGTGTGTGTGCGTGTGCGTGTGCGTGTGCGTG